CAGCAGGGAGTAGATTGATTTTGTCTATCATATTTGGCAGTTCTTATTTAGTCTTGTTGATTACCTTGGGGGTGCCACTGAAAGCCCTTTGCTCTGTAAACCTGTGCAAGCAAGATACAGCATGGTTCCTTAGGTACTGAAATGTACTATAAATTCCAAGGTACTGTAAGATTAGTTTCACAGTTTGATGGAACATGATTTATACAGTGATTTGAATTGTGCAGTTTGGTGGTGGAGATGGTATAAAAGTCTTGGAGTTAGTAATTTAGATTTCTTTTTTAAAAAATTGATTTTTTTGTGCGTGTTTATTGTAGGTTTTAGTTTTGTGGTTAACAAAGATTCAAGGATGGCTTCCTTACTATATAATAGTCTATCTTAAATTGCTGATTACTCTATTTCAAATACAATCTAAAGGTAGTTTTTTTCCCCCTTCTTCACTTATTTTGTATTAGATGTCATAATCTGCAGTTTTTGTGTACCTCTTGACTGATATTGTCTTTTTTCTCTAATTTTGTATTTCCTTGGTAATTAGTTGGTTTACTACATTTACTGTGGGTTTATTTTCACTGTTGAAAGCTATTCATTCTTAGGGTTGTTTCCATGTACAGCAGTCCCTTTGACATATCCTGTAAGGCTGACTTAGTGGTGGTAAATTCCTTCAACTTTTATCTGGAAATTATTTAATACCTGCTTCAAATTTAAATGATAATCTTGTTGGTTGGAGGTCCTTCTGTTTCAGTACATGAACTATATCATGCCATTCCCTTCTGGCCTGTAGAGTTTCTGTTGATAAGTCTGCTGGGACTTCGTTTCCATTATAAGTAATCTTTTTTCTCTCTATTGCTGCTTTCAACACTCTCTCCTTATCCTTGATCTTTGCCATTTTAATTATTATATATCTTGGTGGTGTTTTCCTGGGGTTCCTTTTGTTAGGCGCTCTCTGTGCTTCTGTGACCTGAGTATATATTTCCTTCCCCACATCAGGGAAGTTTTCAACAATTATTTCCTTAAAGAAACTTTCTATCCCTTTATCTTCCTTTTCTTCTCTGGTACTCATTATGGGAATATTGTTTTGTTTGGATTGTTCACATAGCTCTCTTATCACTCTTTCATTTCTAGAGATCCTTTTTCCTCTCTGTTCCTCAGCTTTTTTGTTTTCCTGTTCTCTAATTTCTATTTCATTTTCTGTCTTCTCTACATGTGCTAGTCTACTTTAAAATCCTTCCAGTGTGTGTTTCATTTCAGATACTGTATTCTTCAGCTCTGAGTGGCTCTTTTTCAGGTTCACTATCTCTTTGTTGATATCCTCCTGAGACCTTGAATACTTTTCTGTAAATCCATGAGCATGTTTATGACTTTTATTTTGAAATCTTTATCAAGAAGATTGGTGATCTCTCTTTCACGTAGCCCTCTTTCTGGGGTACTGTTTTGTAGTTTTGTATGGATCACATTCCTTTGTCTACTTAGTCAGGCTTTCTGTGTTTCTTCCTTTGTGTCAGATGCCTCTGCTATGCCTTCTGGCTCTATGACGAAGGCATCCTATGGTGCCCAGAAGCTCAAGATTCTTTACTCTCTAGTGCCTGTTTCTATTTTGTGGGGACCCCAGCTGTCAGTATGCCATGAGTTGGACTCCCTTTTTGTCTGGCTTCCATAGTGGTCTTAGTCTGGTTGAGCAATTTGCTTTGGTCACACTTTTGTGATCAGCTCAGGAGTCTGTTGCATTCACTGTGGGCAAGGGCTGCCCTCTGCCTGGCTTGCAGCAATGGCGGGGATGCAGGGTTAATGGAGTGGGTGGATTGATGCTCAGCTCAGACCTGGCCAGATACGGACCACCAGGTTTGGACACCCGTAGGGAAGGAGGAGCTCTGGGGGCTGGCTCCTGTATGCACCTCCCCGGTTAGGCTGAAATGGAGCCAAGGAAGCTGGGAAAGACTCCCTCTGCCTGCCTGGCAGCAAAGTCTGATGCTACTGCCAGGCCAAGTGGGTTGTCTCCCAGCAGCAGGCGCAGGGAGGAGCCTCAGGGCTGTGTTGCCAGAAAGGGGGTAGAGTGTCTGGGGCTTCGGAAAGTTCCCAGTCTGCTGGGCCAGTGGAGCACTGGGGAGGCATGGTCCACCTGCCCTTTCTCCTGAGGAGAGTTCTGTCCAACCCTTGCACCTCTGGCACCTCTCCTACTGCTGGAAAATCTTTCAAATTGCAGCCTCTGCTTTGGGTCTCAGGTCTGGCAGAGCATGCCTGCCCTCCACACTGGCTGGAGCCTCAGCCTTCCGGAGTGTTCCACCTGCCCCTGGTGTCCAGCCCTGCCACTCACCAGAACCCAATGTGATGTGGGCTTCGGATCCCAGGATGGGTGTCCAGGGCCAGATGCTCAGTGCTCTGGGCTCCTACCCACTCCTGGCTCCATTCCTCTTTCTCCTGCCTGTGGGCTGGGATTGGGGGAGGGCTTGGGTCTCACTTGATCTCAGCTTTGCCACTTTACTCTTTTCTGTGTGGTCTCTTCTTCCTCAGGTGTAGGTGACCTGTTCTGCAGTCTTCAGGTCGTTTTGAGGTTTAGTTGTATTTGCTGTATTTTCTTCTTTTATGTGTTTTTGGAAGGAGGTTTCTGCCTTGCCTTCCTACTCTGCCATCTTTAATCTGTCAAACGTGTGTACAAGTCACCTAGTGATCTTGTCAAAATGCAAATTCTGACTGAGCAGAGGATGGGCAGAGACCCTTTCACAAGCCCCCAGGGAGGGGCACTGCTAGTCCATGAATAGCAGGAGATCAAAAGACATGTCCAGACTGGGCAGGCTGTGCCTTTCTGAGGTGGTGTGACACGTACATTAAGACTGTTGACATGTTGATTTGTAGAACACTCTTGAAAAGGATAAATCATTTCAAATACTGATTCTGCCGTTATTTTTTAAATAATAGAAAAAAAACTTCTTAAAATTCCTCTGTGCCCCAGTTTCCTAATTTGTAAGATGAAGATAGTAAGTCCTCCCAGGATTGTCAGGATTACATGGAAATCTCTCTACAACATTATTATGGGAACTTGTTCATGAGCCTCCTGAATGCTTTATCATGAATAAATAAATAAACTTGAGAAATATTAATTTGTTGTGCCATATAGAAAACAAGCTCATACAAGCTAGGAAAGTTTATATGAAACAGTATAGTTGTACTCATCATTATATTATTTATTACAACAAAATAGAAACGACATTGGTGGTATTTGGATTTTGGGGAAATAAGCTATAGTATATATGAAGTGACTGCTACATGTCAACACTGTTCTGTGTGTTCAGGATATAATAGTGGGAAAAAAATCCTTGTCTCTTTGGAGTCCGACATCTAGTAGGGGAGAAATGAGTTTCTATTAAAATACACTGAAAGAAACAACCCAAAACACAAGATCACTTCACCATTTCAATTTTGTCTGAGTCTAACAACAAATGGGACTGGAAGTTAATAAAAAGAAGGAAAGAATGAATAAATAAGAGCGCTAGTTCATAAGACAAAATCTACATGCGACAGCTTCTAATTCCGTGAGCTACAGAATCTTATAGGGTTTTTAGGGATTAATCTTCATCATCTACAGAAATTGCTTAGAGGTAATTAAATAGTAATTATTCCCTTCCTCAAAAACCTGTTAACTCCTAATATGGGTGGAAGGATTTCAAGAATCCCTATTATTTTTCTCTGCCAACTGACATTTTTTCCAATTTATATATAGTATCTCTTAGAGTATGTTCAATAACTGTATGTGTGAAGACAGAATTTTTAAAGTTTTATAATAACTTACAATCCATTCTACTACTAGTAATTCTTAACTGAAGGATGAGTTCCATACTAAAAATGTACAAGGCACTCTAGGTTTGGTGATTTGTAACTCCAAGCTGAATTTCTGCACAGAAGCAATTATTATTTTCAAATCTCAAGCTATGAACAAGAAGTTCCATCATCCCATAATGAGACTGATATTATTTCAGGGTAAAACTGAACAGTGGGAAATTTTGAACACAAATTTATTCTTGCCTCTTATTTCTTCTCTGCAGTCAAGTCTGGTAAAGTTTCCAATAACTCAGTAACATGAATGTGGGACTATTAATGTTCTCTCAAATATTATTTTACTTCAAAGAACCTTAAAGTGGGGTAAATAATTGAGATCAAGTGTAAAGGGGATGCAAATTTTTCCATATTTCCCCAAATCCTACCAATGTTCTATGCTGAAGTTTTAGTTGGCCTGGCTTTTTTTGCACACCTCTTCAAAACTTGGATATGAAGGCTCTCCCATACATCAAGTAATAGCCTCCAAAAAAGGGGTGATATTTGAGTCCCAGCCAGTCCACTTCCTTTGCTGGAATGCTGAGTCTGGTAGGGTGAAAGGAGAAAATAGGATGTGTCTATATAGTTCAACGTCTTATATATGTAGCTCCTTAAAAGAGTCAGATACAGATCTCCCCTGTACGTTAGCTAATTAGGAATTACTTCACTCTGCTTGTCAAATACCTAGCTAAGAACTGTGAAAGAGAAACTATTGTATTTAAGAAGGATGAGATGTTGCAGGAGGAGGAGCACATACGCCTGGAGAGTCTAGTGGGGGGTTTGTGGAGGAAGGAAGCTAAGACAAGGTCGCAGCAGGGAGTAGATTGATTTTGTCTATCATATTTGGCAGTTCTTATTTAGTCTTGTTGATTACCTTGGAGGTGCCACTGAAAGCCCTTTGCTCTGTAAACCTGTGCAAGCAAGATACAGCATGGTTCCTTAGGTACTGAAATGTACTATAAATTCCAAGGTACTGTAAGATTAGTTTCACAGTTTGATGGAACATGATTTATACAGTGATTTGAATTGTGCAGTTTGGTGGTGGAGATGGTATAAAAGTCTTGGAGTTAGTAATTTGTATCTGATAGCTGGATATTAGATGTTTGCTCTCTAAGCAGTTATTAAGAGCTATACATATATTAATTCTGTCATCAGAACCACCACTCTATTGAGATTAATATTCATTCTATTTGCAGAAGAGGAAACTGAAGCTTAGAAAAAGGATCAGTAACTTCCCCAAGGCTACACAGCTAGTAAGTATAGATTTGAAATTGAGTCTGTTTGACTCCAAACCTATTTATAAGCTTTAAAATCAATTGTGTCAAATGGAACACTAAGCCTGTGTTTTTTCACAGTAGGAGGCTTTTCTCCCTAATCACTTGCTTACTTGTCTCAACTCTTATAGAGAGAAGTTGGATTCTCCTCATGGCTTTGACTGACCAGCTCAGTATCCTTTAAGGCACAACCTGAATTCTCTGGACCCTTCTTAAATGAGAGGGCTGGACTACATGATCACCAAGACTGTTCCAAAGGTCAGTTCCTACAGTCTCTATACTTTGTGGATTCAGTCTTTGAGCCTAGCTCACTTATTCAATTTCCTAAATATAATGCTTTCTATTTGGAGCAAATATGTGTATAATTTTATTACTGGTAACATACCACTTATCTCTAATGTGAGCTGTGTAGGTTAATAAAACTGTAATCGTTTATTGCATCTCTTGCATACCAGGTGTAAGTCCGGGGAGAGGAAATCCCGGGGCAAAATACCTCTAAAAGCTGAAATCAGTCGAAGGGAGAAATAAAGTTTAATACCCATTTATTGCTTATAAATTGCAGTCCAGGGCCATCTCTCTCCCCTGCTCCAGAAGGAAGCAAGCAAGTCATCAAGCCAGCCCCTCCCTTTAAATGCCCAGGTTCAGACATACCCTCGGTTGCCCAGGTAATTACCCATTGACACAGAGATGAACTTCTCTCCACTGCTGAGGATATGCAAAATGCACTAAAGTCAGGTGAGATAATCTGGAAATGTTACAATTTTACCCACAGGCCATTCTCACCTTAGAATCTACTTGTTCCACTTCTTCCGCAATGGTCACTGGGTGGGAAAACTGGAGCATTGTGACCAGACTAATTACATAACAATAGCAAAGCAATAAAATTATGACAATCATCAAGCCTGAGGACTCAGCTAGCTTCAAAGTTCCATGCAGATTTAAGTCCATAGCTTGTCCATTCCATAGGCAGGTGGTAGCCGAGGGTTCAGAGCCATCATCACGTGGCAGCTGCAGCCAGGGGGGTGCATCCAGGCTGCAAGGACTGTAGGAGAAAATAACCTTAAGGGAGGTAAGATACATGTTGTAATGACACCTGCATAGGCACCTCTTGTTCATCAGGTAGGATACATGCAAGAGAGGGTCCTGTGATAGGACAGTGGCAGGACTGGGATCTCGTCCTGGTCTACTGACCAGACCTTCACCCCCCTCCCTGTGGGAGTTACAGATGGGTCAACATATAGGACTACGGGAGGTACATGCACTGGCCACAAAGATAAAACAAAACTTGCTCGCAAGATGCTCTTATCTTCTTGACATTTTGGGTACACTACTGGGAACTTTGGGGGCCATTCAGCTGCTTATTCCAGGAATACACAGGAGGTCAGCTTACAGGCCTTTCCCCCAAGGTGCCAGAAGGGCCGGCCATCGCTGGTCCATGTGTCAAAACGTCCAGGGCCATGTGCATTCAGCAGTGTCTCCAGGCCTTAATGCAGTAGGGCGGGCAGCAGGATGTTGCTCTGCTGCCATATCCTGGCTTCAGTAGCTCCTCTTTGGTTTGGACGCACAGTTGTATAGGGGAGGCGGCAAGGTGCGTGAGCACATCCACGGGGCTCGGAGCTCCTTTACGTGGCTTCTCATTCAAACACTGTAGCATGGTCCATAGGCGAACTGACCAGCCCCATAGACTGCTGGTGTCCAGATTCAGGCCAGATGTCAACAAACTGTTGTACCTCTCTATCATGCCTGCCCTGGTAGGATTATAGGTACATGAAATATCCACTTTATTCCTAATTGCTGCACCCATTCTTGTAACGCATGTCCAGTAAAGTGGGTGCCTTGATCGCTCTCCATCACCTGCGGCCGGCCATAGGCTGCAAAGAGACGTTTCAGGCCCCTCTTGGTGGTTTGCTGATCTGCACGATGTACAGGAAAAGTAACCAGTAGTCCAGTAGCCTTGTCTACACAAGTCATGGCATACCGATATCCTTCTGATATGGGCAGAGGCCCAATATAGTCTATTTGCCACCTGACAAGGGGTATTGGCCCCCTTACTATTGTCCCATGTTGCTGTGAGACTCGGTGTAAGTCCCTCTTTAGAGCACACAAGGCACTCCTTCCGGGCTCTGCTGACTTCAAAGGTCAATGGCAAGCCCCACCTACAGGCTACAGCCCACATTGTCTTCTGCCCCACGTGCAACAAACGCTGGTGTAGCCATTGGGCCACATCAAAGGCAGGCTTTCCTTCAGCCAGCACACCTGGGCCAATGTGTCTGCTTCATCATTCCCTGGGGATGCCAAAGGCAAATGATATACTGATATACGGTAACAGTCTTAGTCTGACCAGAGGCCCATAGGTCTTGGCACAACTCTTGCCCCCAAGGGGGCCGGTGACCAACCATCCAGTTGGCATGAATCAAAGAACACTCAGCTCCTGTATCCACCAGCACCAGGACACGTTGTATATTCATGGGGAAACAATGAATTGCTAATTCTACATGTGGCCTCTGGTCCCCACCATGTCCCCCCAAGGTGGGGACTTTGACCTCCCCCCCTCAGTTGAACCGCGATGCCCAATCATCCTCCTCTGGGGGTGAGGGCTCAGGCGAATCCTGAATACTGTCTCCCATACTGCCATACTGGACTACTGGTTACTTTTCCTGTACATCGTGCAGATCAGCAAACCACCAAGAGGGGCCTGAAACGTCTCTTTGCAGCCTATGGCCGGCCGCAGGTGATGGAGAACGATCAAGGCACCCACTTTACTGGACATGCGTTACAAGAATGGGTGCAGCAATTAGGAATAAAGTTTTGCAGGGACACAGGCTGGGCATGAGGCCTTGACTCTGTTTTCTGTGTCCTGGACCTCAGGGCCTGGAACTGCTGCTCCGGCTTTAATTGGTGCCATAGTTCTAACAACATTCTATGGGCTGCCCATCGAGTTTTTTTTTTTCACTACCCTGGCTTTTATCAAATCAACCCACACCTGGGTCCTCGAGACCTTCAAGGGGCCTTTTGCACCTCTCCTTTCACTCGTGGACTGTACTTCCCTCCGTGCCTTTGTTGTTTCAACCTCCCCCAGATCTGCTAAAGTACGAGTAGCCTCCTTTATGGGGCGCCCTAGGTGGGGGGCAAGAGTATTCACTAGGAACCCACAAAGAGATGTGGGAGCTGTGTGCAGCACCAGATTTCTCATTCCTACAGTGAACACTTTCTCATCAGGGCCCTGGGGGTCCATATTATAGATGATATTTTTCATACCCAATTCCCACAGTACCGATTGGAGTTGAAGGAACTACTCTTTCCTCCCCCTCCCCCATGGCCTCCTGCAATGCGGCTTTTCTTGCTGTCTCCCCCCTCGCCACTTCTAAGGAATTTCCTAGGAGCGTGACCTGCCTTTTCAATAACTCTCTCTCTTCTTTAACAGCTTCCCATGGGTTATTGCAGAGCTCCTCCCAGCGATGCTGAGGTGTGTCTCTCTCCCACCTAAGTCCCTCGATAATCCTCTTTCTCCTGTATAACATTTTCCACTATGTTATTGAAAAGAGACCCTACAGTGCCAGCCGCCACACAACCCCCTAAGGTCTCCAAGCAGTCTTCCAACTCACGGAGGGCTAATTCTGCACCTTCCCATGTTTCCACCCTTTCCCAGTTCTGGGGAAGGTCCCACCCCTCTAAGCGGTACTTTACCCTAGACCAATTCCCCACTAGGGGTTCCCAACTTGGAAGCCCCACAGCTGGGGGTTTAATAACAGGTGAAGTGACATCCCCTGCCGCTGCACCCACTGGGGCCTCCCTACCATCCACAGGAGCAGCCCTCCCAAAGGTCGCATCCATTATAACAGATTTCGGGTTCAGAGGCACCGCGACTTTCTCCAGGTGTAAGGCCGGGAGGAGGAAATCCTGGGGCAAAATA